GGCCATTCTGACTGGTGTCAGGTGATAACTCATTGTAGTTTTGATTTGCATTTCTCTGATAATTAGTGATATTGAGCATTTTTTCATGTGCCTATTGATCATTTGTAGTCCTAGCCACAGCAATCAGGAAAGAGAGAGAAATAAAAAGGATCCACATTGGAAAAGAAGAGGTAAAAGTGTCACTATATGCCGACGACATGTTACTATATATAGAAAACCCTAAAAGGTCCACACAAAAACTACTAGAGCTGATCAAAGAATTCAGCAAGGTACCAGGTTACAAGATTAACATTCAAAAGTCAACTGCATTTCTTTACACTAAAGATGAATCAACAGAAAAAGAAAGTAAAGAAACAATCCCCTTTAAAATAGCACCCAAAGTAATAAAATACCTGGGAGTAAATCTAACCAAGGAGGTGAAAGAATTATACACAGAAAACTATAAACCATTGATGAAGGAAATTAAAGAAGACTTTAAAAAATGGAAAGATACCCCATGCTCCTGGATTAGAAGCATCAATATTGTTAAAATGGTCATACTGCCCACGGCAATCTGTAGATTTACTGCAATCCCTATCCAATTACCCAGGACATACTTCACAGAACTAGAACAAGTCATAATAAAATTTATATGGAACCACAGAAGACCTAGAATTGCCAAAACATTACTGAAGAGAAAGAAAGAGGTTGGAGGAATAACTCTCCCAGACTTCAGACAATACTATAGAGCTACAGTCATCAAGACAGCATGGTATTGGTACAAAAACAGATATATACCAATGAAACAGAATAGAGAGCCCAGAAATGAATCCACAAACTTTTGGTCAACTAATCTTCGACAAAGGAGGCAAGAATATACAATGGAATAGACAGTCTCTTCAGCAAATGGTGTTGGGAAAACTGGACAGCAGCATGTAAATTAATGAAGCCAGAACACTCCCTTACACCACACACAAAAATCAACTCAAGATGGATCAAAGACTTAAACATAAGACAAGATACAATGAACCTCCTAAAAGAAAATATAGGCAAAACATTATCTGACATATGTCTAAAAAATATTCTCCTAGGCCAGTCTACCCAAGCAATAGAAATAAAAGCAAGAATAAACAAATGGGACCTATGAAACTTACAAGCTTCTGCACAGCAAAGGAAACCATAAGTAAAACAAAATGACAACCTACGGAATGGGAGAAAATTTTTGCAAGTGAAACCGACAAAGGCTTGATCTCCAGAATATATAAGCAGCTCATACGACTTAATAAGAAAAAAATAAACAACCCAATCCAAAAATGGGCAAAAGACCTAAAGAAGCAATTCTCCAAGGAAGAAAAAAGTATATTCAATGTTAGTAGATTTATTCATAAAAAATAAAGGCTTAAAAATCCTTTGCTGCCAAAGTATTATTTGGATGATATAAAACACAAGCTGGGCTTGCTTTTTATAAAATGATCAAGTTACTCTATACTCGAATAACAGTTTTTATTACTAGAATATTCTGTTACCTCTTTGTAACAGAACACCTCTCCGTTACTTCTGATAAACACCTGAATTATCTTGGAAAAAAGTTCCTCTCTTAAAAAGTTACTAAAAATCACTATTTATTGCTATGGTTCTAAAATATTATTTAAAATAAATATACCTTGTGTTTAAAAAAGTAAGAGTTATGTTGATGTCTTGTTCCATCACAGTTCTTAACTTTGTCTTTCCCTTATGCTTTAAATTCAGAACAATAAATGTCTTTTTTAACACCTTTATTATGGTATGACTCCTGTACAGTAAATTATACATATTTCAGGCATACAATTTGATGAATTTTTAACAGTA